CGCGGTCCCTGTGCTTTGTTTAGCTTAGCTTGTTCTAAGTAGGTGCTTTAGACCACTGAGCCATCTCACCAGCCCCTCTTTTGTTTTTTTAACACAGTCTTTCTATGTAGCCAAGCTGGTTTCACAATACTGCAATCCTCCTGTCTCAGCCTCCCCAAGCGCTGGGATTACAGGCATGTACATCATGCCCAGCTAAAATAGGATCTTGCTAAACTGCCTGGGTTAGCTGGATGTGGTGGTATATGCCTGTAATCCTAGCACTCAGGTGCCTGAGGCAGGAGATTCACTGTGAGTTCAAAACCAGCCTCGCAGGGCTAGGGAGATAGCTCAGTAGAATAAGTGCTTGCCTGGCAAGCACAAGGGCCTGAGTTCAGTCTGTGGTTGAAAAAGACCAGCCTAGGCTACAAAGTGAGCTCAAGGCCAGCCTGAACTGCATAGTGAGACCCTATTTCAAAAAGATGAAAAAGGGCCAAGGAGACAGCATAGTGGCATAAGCACCTGCCTCACACATGCAAGGTCCCAAGTTTGATCCCCGGTACTGAGAGAAAAAAATATATATACAAAAGACAAAAAAAATAGTTAATTGCCCATGTTGGACTCAAACTTGACATCCTCCTGCCTTCGCTTCCCAGTATATTTTGTTATATCCTGTAGCTATTCTAGCCTAGATGTTACAAAACTAAAGTTTCTATCCTTTCTCCTATTTCATGTTCTGCAAGATCCCATTGCTGTTACTACCTGTGTCTACCTGACCACTACTGATGCTCTAACAGTTTGCTGGGATTTCATACTTGAATTACCCACTCTGAAACTAAACACAGAGAATATGAGGTGGAACCAAGTTGCATTATGAGAAATGCAAGCTGTTGCCAGGCATGGTGGCACAAGCCTGCAATCCAGTACTGCTGAGGCTGAAGCAGGAGGACGGTTGCTAGTTTTGGGCCAGCCTAAACTGCATAGCGAGACCCTGTCTCAAAAAGATCCTCCCAAAAAAATAAAAGAAATGAAAGCTGATACCACTATTTGTGAAACGTAAGAAATCATGGGTCCCAAAGACTGCTCTACAAATCTTTGAGAAATACTGATTCTAGTATCTAAATAATAGCAGTCTTCCTTATGCACAGATAACTTTCCGGGAAACGGGGGGGCAGTCATACCATAGGGATTGTTTTGGGTTTGATTTTGTTTGCAGGGGAGGAGTCTAGGAATTTAACTCAGGACCTCACAGTTGCCAGGCAGGCACTGTGCTGCTGAGCTATTTCTCCAGCCCCATAGCCTACAGATTATAATTCAGGGCTCTTTCCACTGACCTACATGCCCACCAGGTCTGGCTGTGTAACGAAGGCTGGCCTGGGACTCATTGGCAATCTTGTCTCACCTCCTGAGTGCTAGAATTATAGGCATGCACCACCATCTAACTTTAAATATAAAAATATAACTTCTTGCCAGCAAGAATTACTGATTTCAAGGCCAATATAAAATGCATAGCCAAGGGGCTGGGGAGATGGCTCAGTAGAATAACTGCTTTCTTGGCAAGCGCAAGGGCCTGAGTTCAATCCCCAGTTCCG